ATTTATTTATTTGAAAGTCAGAGTTACACAGAGAGAGGAGAGGCAGAGAGAGAGAGAGGTCTTCCATCTGATGGTTCACTCCCCAACTGGCCACAACGGCTCAAGCGGGGCCGATCCGAAGCCAGGAGCCAGGAGCTTCTTCCAGGTCTCCCCTGTGGGTGCAGGGGTCCAAGGACTTAGGCCATCTTCTACTGCTTTCCCAGGCCACAGTAGTGAGATGGATTGGAAGTGGAGCAGCTGGGACTAGAACCGGTGTCCATATGGGATGCTGGTGCCTCAGGCCAGGGTGTTAACCTGCTGAGCCACAGCTCCAGCCTTGGTATGTCACTTTTTTAAAAAGGAGATTTTCTTTTAAAAATTTTATTTTTATCAACACAAAGTAATTGCACATATTTATGGGGTACAATATATGAATACATTGTATAATGATTATTCCACGGTAATTAGCAGATCCATCATCTTAAATTACACGAAATGCAAATCAAAACCAAAGAGATATCATCTCATTCCAGTCAGAATGGCTATTATCAAAAAGACAAAGGATAACAAGTGTTGGTGAGGGTGTGGAGAAAAGAGAACCTTTATTCACTATTGATTTGGAATGTAGATTATCACAGCCATTATGGAAAACAGTAAGGAGCTTCCCCAAAATATAAAAAATAGAACTGCCATATGATCCAGACATCCCACTCCTGGGTATATATATCCAAAGGAAATGAAACCAGTACACCATGAAACATCTGCATTCCCATTTACTGCAGCACCATCTCCGATGACCAAGATAGAGAAGTTTTCTTAGAGATCTTTTTTCTGATTTACGACAAAAAAATTGCAGCAACTTTCAAACTTGAAAAATTCCCAGAAATAGTATCTCAAAAACCGGCTACAATTCTGTTGCAAACTTTGATTTACAACAAAACTGCAATTTAAAAATGGTTAGGAGCCTTGTGGTATAGTGGGTTAAGCTACACAACTTAACCACTTGAACTTTCCATATGAGTGCTGGTTTGAGTCCCAGCCGCTCCACTTCCCATCTAGCTCTCTGCTGTGGCTTGGGAAAGTAGAAGATGGCCCAAGTGTTTGGGCTCCTGCCCAGATAAATATTTAAAAAAAAAAATACTGCTTTTCTTTTTTAGTTTGCTTGTTTATAATGAATGCATAATGGATTTTTTTCCAAAGATTTATTTATTTGAAAGGCAGAGTTACAGAGAGCAGAGGCAAAGGCAGAGACAGAAAGAGAGGTCTTCCACCCACTGGTTCACTTCCTGGATGGCTGCAATGGCTGGAGCTGTGCTGATCCAAAGCCAGGAGCCTTTTCTAGGTCTCCTACACGGGTACAGGGACCCAAGGACTTGGGCCATCCTCTACTGCTTTCCCAGGCCATAGCAGAGAGCTGGATTGGAAGTGGAGCAGCCAGTTCTTGAACTGGTGTTCTACATGGGATGCTGGCACTGCAGGCGGTGGCTTTACCCATTACACCACAGCTCCAGCCCCACTTTTTTAGTGCTATATCATCCATATGAAATGGTATAGAGAATATCTCTGACAACAAGAGATACTTAAACTTAACCTACATTCAACTGATTTTTGTATACCAACATCCAGTATTTTTAGTGCTAAATGATACAACTACTGTGTTTCTTAATGGATTTTTATCCATTCAGTATTAAAAATTTAGAGGAAGGTGGTACTTTCCCTATAGTTAAGACACAGGTTAGGACACCTGAATCCCATACTGGAGCTCCTGAGTTCCATACCTGGTTCTAGCTCTTGATCCTGGCTTCCTGCTAACACATACCCTGGAAAGCAGCAGCAATGGCTCAAATAATTGAAGCCTACCACCCATGTGGGATACCTGGACAGATTTACAGTCTCCTGGTTTCTGACTGGGATAGCCTCCTGGCTCTTGAGGGCATGTGGGGAGTGAACAAGCAGACGGGAACGCTGCCTCTCAAATTAAAACACACACACACACACACACAAAACACAACAGATAATGTAGAGGTCAACAATGAACATCACATAGAATCTTGTAAATCTGAGCTTCAGGACCCACATTTAGTATTATTATTTTTTTAACACTCACAATGAACCTCTGCTTCTCTCCTACCACAATCACTTTTGCCGGGCAGCCTATAGGCGTGGGTAGATATGACTCAAGTAAAAATGCCAGTGCTATCAATTAGTCTATATTCCTAGACATTGTTGTGATTATTAATTTTGTGTCACCCTTCATTCCATCACTTCTGATTTGTTCCGTGAGAATTTCCTGTTTATGTGACAGCCTCTTCTACAAAGAGTGTGAACTACTTAAGAATGGGGACTATATATGCTTGACCGTGTATCTATTTTCCAATGGTAAATACAGTGTCTTCAACATAACTCCCCCTGCAAGTTTACTAAAGATGCATGAAAAGTTAGAAATCTATCTATCCACAGGTATGTAAAGAAAGTTAAAAATCTTAAGAGATACCACATTTGATTTAACTTTTCTTAAGTATTTTTTTCCTTCTTTCCTTTAACGTTCGATAAGTCTTTGTCCTTGGGGAACAGTGAGTGTCAAGGAGAAACACTGCAGTATGATGCCATTCAGGCATTCACAGGTTCACTATTCTGGGCTCCTTAACTGACCTGTTTGGTTTTGCTGCTTATAAAGCCAAAAATAATTATTCATTATGTCAGCCCAGACTTGAAATCCTCGGGAATGAGAGAGAGCTCTTCCACAATTACGACTACCTGGACTTCTTACAGAAAGTGGGATGGGGGTGGCGGTGTTAGCGAGGAAAACAGGAACCTAACAGGAGAGAACCAAAGCAGGCCGCGGCTCCTCCCGTCCTGAGGGGTGTCTTCACGCTCACGCTTCCTGATGAAAGCGGCAAGTGTTCTGCGGCAATGGCGGACTCTTTTAAGAGCTGTTTGGTTCAGGTTTAAAACATGATTTGCATTTTTACCGTACCTTTCCCCACTAGAGATGAAGGAAGGCATTTTAGATTTCAATATTAAGGCCCAAGATGAATTACAACCAAAACAACGTGCTCAGTGTGCTGAACAGCACTCCCGTGGGGGCGAAAAAAAAAAAACCAAAACAAAACAGTGAACCGTGCTAATGTACTCTTGACCAAAATAAATAACTCAAGTCCGGAGCATGCGTTGAAAAAGGGATTGAAATTGTGCAAAACTGCCATAGAGCTGTATTCAGCATCTGACTAATTTGCATTTTGGGTTTCTGGTGGTTGAAAGTTGAAGCTGGCCCAGAAAAAAAAAAAATTACAGCCCAGAAACTTAAAATATCAAGGCCACACTTACCAATTAACACGAACATTTCTAGTTTACATTCGGATGTTTTCATTCTGTAGCTGGCACAAATAAACTGCCCCAGGAGCGTAATTCTACCGCGAGAAGGGAGGATGCGAAACTAGGACGGAGCTATCTCCACGCATTCTTTTATTTACCTTTCACGACACAACTTACAGGAGTTACACGTGAACCCAAAAACAAAAAACCGGAGTTGTCAGGAAACCCTTGCTTCGCTCACTTCGCCTCAGCCGGCGTCTCCTTAGCAGCCGAGACCGGCGCTCGGCGGCTCTCGGGCCGCCTGAGGCGAGCGCGCAGCGAGGCGCGTTCTTCCGTCTCCTGCCGCACGACTTAGTAAACGCGGGCCTCATACCCCACCCAGCCTTCTCAGCCTTCCTCCCCGCGTCCACAGAGAGGACTGAGTAAGAAAACGACAAGGGTCAAGCAGAAAACGGCCAGCCCCCAGGCCGCCGCCGCGCGCGCACGCGCACGCGCACGACCGGCGACCGCGGCGCGCGAGGGGCGGGCCCGAGGCGCGCGCCTGGAGCTCCGCCCCGCGGCCGCTCCGCCTCCTCCCCCTCACCCCACCCCTCAGCGCCGGGGAGTGACTGACTCCCGCCAGCCCCTCCACGTCAATCAACCCTCCTCCTTCTCGCACTCTCTGCACCTTGTTATTAATCTCAATACCGATATTGCCCGGACGTCTCTCCCCCGGCTCTCGGGGGGTTGTGAACGTGTGTGAGCGAGAACGAAGGCACCGAAAGCTGGCGTCTCTGTTCAGCCAAGGCCCCGGCAGCACCAGGCGCAGCAGCAACCCCCGCAGCGGCGGCAGCAGCCCCAGCACCAGGAGGCCAAGGCCAAGGCCGGGCTCTGTGAGGCTCTCGGAGCTATAGCCGCGGCTTCGGCAGCTGCGGGGGCGCAGCTTCCTCCGGCGGCGGAGGCCTTCGCGTCAGCGGCCGCGGCCGCGGGGCCTCTCCAGTGCGACCAGGGCCACCGTCCTCGAAGCCCAGCGGCGCGGCCCTCGTCCCCCTCCCCGCTCCGGCTCCGTTTCGCTCCCTCCGGCCGCCCTCCGCGCCGCCGCCTCTGCCGTTCCTCAGGCGGCCCGGCCCGGCCCGCCCGCCCTGCGTCCCCTCTGGCCGGTGCCTCTCCCCCCGGCGGGCTGCCTGCATGTCTTTACTGCCCTCAGCCCCGCCGCCACCGCCGCCGCCGCCTCCCCCGCCGCCGCAGCCCCAGCGCCAGCCGCCTCGCCGCCGCCGCCGCCGCCGCCGCCCGGACCCTGGCGCGCTGAATGCAGGTGAGGAGGGGTGCGGGACCAGGCAGGCCCTCCGCGACCCCGGGGCCGGCGCGCCCGGCCGCCCGCGAGCCTCGGGCCCCGGGCCCCGGCGTGCCGCGGCGGCTTCCCCTCGGGGCGGGCGGGCGGGCGTGGGTGTTTGTGTTTGCGTCTGCGGCCGCGGCTCCGGAGGGGAAGCATCTGTGGGGGCCCGCGCGCGCGCGCGCGCGCTCGCTCGCTCGCGCTCGCGGGCGTGTGTGTCTGTGTGAGTGTGTGTGGTGTTTCCCCTGCCGCGGGGAAATGGCTGCTGTTGCTCCTTGTGGGCCGGAGGCAGAGAATGAGGTAGAGTGTGTGTGTGTGCCTCCGAGTCGGACCGATCGCGAGCGTTGGGGAGGACTAGCGCGTCCCCGGGGACATGAGGTGGGAGAGGGACAAATACGCGTGTGGGTGTGCGAGTTGGGACTTTGGCGGGCGGCCTGACGGCCCGCGAGTGGGTGTGTGTGTGTGTGTGTCGAGTGACCGGAGGGGGCGGCGGGGTGACCCGCGCTGGTCGGAGGCGGGCGAAGGCTCCGGGTGTGTGTGTGGAGTGTCGGGGGGCGTCCGCGCCCGCGGCCGGGACCCCCGAGCGGCGTGTCCCTCCCGCTTTGTGGCCCAGGCTCCCGAGCCTCGCAGGTGAGAGCTGCCCCGCGGGGGCCGCGCCGGGCAGGGAGGTGAGCGAGTGCGGCCCACGCGAGGCGGCACGGCCCGGCGAGCTGCGGGTCTGGGTTCCCGGGGCCGCGGCCGCGGCAGGAAGCGCGCCGGCCTGCAGCGCGGCCTAACCGCCTCGGCGCCCGCCCGCCCGCCCGCCTGCCCGGACGCCTCCCGGGACGCGGAGCCCGCGCGGGCGCACGGGGGTGCCTCGGGCCTGGGCAGGTGAGAGTCGGAGGCGGGACGCGCCGACTGCCGTCGCCCCGGCCGCCTCCGCGTCCCCCGAGGAGAGGCGAAGGCTTATTTTGGCGTTCCACGGGCGCGGGGACCCCAGGGAAAGTGGTTCGGAGCAGTCCATCGGGGGGAAGACGCGCTGTCGGGACCACTTCGCTTCGGGCTGCGTGGAGGGACTGAGAAAACATTTGCGTTTTGTGTTGCAAATACTTTCTGGTTGGTGAGATGTAATTTTTTTTTTGCTTCCACGAGGTCGATTCGCTGGGAGGGGCGGGGGAAACACCGGGAACCGGGCTTTGCTGGCCTGTGGTGGTGGTGGCTTGGCTCGGCGTTGTGCATTTGAAATTGTCGTCTCCTGCCTCCTAGGGGAAAGGCGTGTTCGCGCCGGGCCGAGCCGAGCCGAGCCGAGCCGAGCCCAGCCGAGCCGAGCCAAGCCAAGCCGGGAGGTCGGGGAGGAAGAGGAAGTTCCTGGAGCTGTCATGCTCCTGAACTCGGCCGCCCGCTTGGCTTGGGCTCTCGAGGTGGATTGTGTTGGAGTTGAGGGGAGCCGTGTGTACGCAGTGGAAGGGCAGCGCTGCCTTTGGGGAGATGCGGCTACCTTCCCGCCTCTCGTGGTCCTCGTCGTCAGTCGAAGCGTCGAGCAGGCAGCCTCTATTGTGTACTCGGTGTGTGCTCCTGGAAAGCTGTTGGGAGAGTAGTCTTAAGCAAAACGCAATTACGAAGAGAAGCCTGCTAGCTCATAGGCGTGCAGTGTGTTTCAGAACCAAGTGTAAATGGCATTTGGATAATTATTTGCTGATTTACTTTTGTCGACTCCACCCTCTTTACATTGGAACGGAGTTACTAGCTCATCTAGCTAGAACTCCACTATGGATAAAGCCATAGTACAGATTGAGCGTTTGTGGGCTGTGTTTTGAGTTCCGGCCAGAGGTTGCTTGTCCCTGTCTGAACCAGGTCTCACGAAGAAATAGTGCATGCTGCTCCCTAGCAAGAGATGGATGTTTTCTGTTGGCACTCCTGGAAGAACAACTTAGCACATGCAGTTTAGTGGAAAAAGGATGTTTTCCAGACTTCAGTTACAATCCCAGCTATGCCATTTTTCTTAGCTATTTTGACCTTAGGCAAGGTATCTTGTTTCTACAGGACTGTGTTTTCTAATCTGAAATAGAGTGATAATACCTTTATGATACTACAGTTATGAGATTAGAATGAGAAAACGTTTGGTACGTAGTAGATGCTTAGTTAAATTTTAGTTCTGCCTCTTGCAGCCCTATCAACATTGAAAAACATAAGTACCGATTAATTACCCAAAACAATATTATGTAACTATAAGCTTAAAATCATGACAATAGAATATTTCTGTCCTTGGTTGTACATAAAGTATAAAAAACAACGCATATAAAACTTTGTTCTAGAAATATTAAAATGGCTAGTATATTAGTTTGTAGTATATTAGTGTGTGTGAGTGTGTGTGTGTGTGTGTGTGTATATATATATATAATGGGCTAGTATATTAGTTTGTAGTTACTTTACTTTAAAGTCACAGTTACACAGAGAGAGGAAGAGAGAGAAAGAGAGGTCTTCCATCCCCTGGTTCACTCCCCAGATGGTCGCAACGTCCGGAGCTGGGCCGATACGAAGGCAGGAGCCAGGAGCTTCTTCCAGGTCTCCCACATGGGTGCAGGGGCCCAAGGACTTGTATTCTTGTACTCTTTTCCCAGGCCACAGCAGAGAGCTGGATTGGAAATGGAGCAGCCGGATCTTAAACTGGCGCCCATATGGGATGTCAGCACTGCAGGCGGCGGCTTTACCCGCTAAGCCACAGCGCAGGCCCCATGATATTTTTCCTATTTTTTAATTGCTAATCTCTAAGTTTCATTACCTCTTAGGGGTTTTTGTTATATAACCTTGGAAAAAAGTTTTAAGCACACATAGCATATATGTTCTAGTATACTCAAGTATTAAAAAGGATCAAGGAACCAGAATTTACCTATAGAAATCCAGAGTTAAGTGCTACAAAAATAGCTCATGTTGTCTGATTCCAGTAAACGAAATCCTTTGGAATATTCTGAATATAAATAAAAGTCCTGTATCAACTTTCAACAGTTTTTCATTTTCTGTGTTACTGTTTTTTTTTTAATTCTTTTTTTAAATCCATTTTCTGCTTTATATAGAGTTGTAAATGTGTTGTTCTTTCAATTTTAACTGTATTGTGGGGAAAAATAATGTCTGAGTTTTATGAAATTTAAGTAAAGGCAACAGGGAGGTTGAAGGATGTTTTTTGGGTAAAGACAGGGCAAAGAGAATGTAGGAGGAGTTTCTTTGGTTGAAGTTTATAAGGTCTCTGATTACTAATGCCAGTTTTCTCAGTGAAGCCTTATGTCATTGCTAACAGTACTGATAAATTTTCAGGAAATCTCACTAGCTTTTTCTAACATTAAAATTTCAATATAGCTTTTATATATAAAAATTTATGTGAAGGATAGTAGGACCAACTTTATTAAAATGGAAAATGTCATTTTTTAAAGTGTGTTGTATGTGTTCACAATGAACAGAATAATCTGCTTGTATATAATGTTAAGGAATCCTAATACTTTCAAAACAATGAAATAGAAATGAATTTTGATCTTAGCACTGGGCAAGTAATTTTTGTTAGATATTATGAATTACAGTATTTTGAAGCAATTTTTTTAAATTGGGTGAGTTGGAGAATGCATTACTCTTTTTGTTTTTTGACAGGCAGAGTGGACAGAGACAGAGAGAAAGGTCTTCCTTTGCCGTTGGTTCACCCTCCAATGGCCGCCTTGGCCGGCGCACTGCGCTGATCCGATGGCAGGAGCCAGGTACTTATCCTGGTCTCCCATGGGGTGCAGGGCCCAAGGAAGTGGGCCATCCTCCACTGCACTTCCCTGGCCACAACAGAGAGCTGGCCTGGAAGAGGGGCAACCGGGACAGAATCCAGCGCCCCGGCCGGGACTAGAACCCAGGGTGCCAACGCCGCAAGGTGGAGGATTAGCCTAGTGAGCCGCGGTGCCGGCTTTACTCTTTAATTATGAAAACAAATTATACTGAGCTATTAAAATTTGTACAGTGAAAATCACTATTAATAATAGGACTGATCATGCTGCCATTGTTCAGATTAAAGGAATTATATTTCAGTGAAATCAATGTGGAAAAATTGTTTAGGTTTTGAAATTTAATTTACTTAAAGGGGCTTTTAAACAATCTTTTCTAAATATCCATTATTAATGCCTTTAGTTAGGAATTGGAATACTTAGGGATTTTGTCATGTATCACTTGGAATGATGCTAATTAATTAGGGTAATAAATGTACTCAAATTTCAGTGGCTTAACACATAGTTTATTTTTTGCTTACAGGACAGTACAGTGCAGGTGTTCTGGTTAGTGAGCTTGTGGCTTTCCTTGTGAGAATTTTTTTTTTTTTTTAAATTTTTTTCTTAATTACATTTCCGTGGACTTTTTTTTTTTTTTTTTAATTTATTTAAAAGGCAGAGTTAGAGAGGGAAAGAAAGACAGAGATGTCTTCTATCACTGGTTCGCTGCCAATGGCCACAATGGCTGGAGCTGGGCCAGGCCAAAGCCAGGAGCCTGGAGCTTCATCTGGGTCTCCCATATGTGGGTGCAGGGGTCCAATCACTTGGACCATCTTCCACTGCTATCCCTGGCACATTAGCAGGAAGCTGAATGAGAAGTGTAGCAGCCAGGACTTTTACTGGTGCCTGTAGGTGATGCCAGCACTGCAGGTAGAGGCTTAACTTTCTATGTTACAGTGCCAGCCCCTTTTTAAAAGATTTATTTTATTTGAAAGTCAGAGTTAAAGAGAAGGAGAGGCAGAGAGAGAGAGAGGAAGAGAGAGAGAGAGAGAGATCGATCTTACATCTGCTGGTTCTCTTGCCAAATGGCCAAAGTGACCAAGATGGGCCAGGCCTGAGCTAGGCTGAGCCTGGACAGCGAAAACTCTTATCTGTAAGGGGTTTGAATGATAAATGTATTTCAGTATTTATTTAAGGATTTACATTTTACAGAACATTACAGTTGGATTCTGTAATTTTTTCCTTTAAGATTTTATTTATCCGTTTGAAAGGCAGAGATAGAGGAGTCTTGTTGCAGTTGATTTCTTCTTAGAGGAGTCGTTCTGAGAGGAGGAGCGTGGTGGGGCAAGAGGCCCGGAGTCACCACACAGACCCTGGGAGTCTGGTGAAAGCAGGCCTGAGGCCTGCTTATATAGCCAAGGCAGCCAATCTGGTCAAGGGGTGGTCTATGCCTTAACCAATCACAGCCTGTTGCCAGGCAGTTTCCAAAGCCGTCCAATCACAGCGTGTTGCCAGTCAGGCTCTGTTGCCAGGCAGTTTCTGAAACCATCCATTCACAGCCTGTTGTCAGGCTCTGTTGTCATGTGGTTTCTGAAGCCATCCAATCACGGCCTGTTGCCAGGCAGTTTCTGTTGTCAGCGGCCATCTTGGCATGACCTTCTCACCTCAGCGGCCATCTTGGTATGACCTTTTCACCTTCTCATTCCAACACACAGTTTTTTTTTTTTTTTTTTTTTTTTAAGATTTATTTATTTATTTGAAAGTCAGTACACAGAGAGAGAAGGAGAGGCAGAGAGAGAGAGAGATGTCTTCCATCTGCTGGTTCACTCCCCAACTGGCTGCAGTGGTTGAAGCTGCTCCAGTCTGAAGCCAGAATCCAGAAGCTTCTTCCAGGTCTCCCATGTGGGTGCAGAGGCC